AGTGTGTTACTTGCTTGCGGGAGCTGTGCTGGATCTTTCTGGTGCTCTTTGGTCGTTGATAATGTCTGGGCTTGAATTAAGAAGTAGAACTACTGAACTACTATAAATCTGGCACCCAGACGCTCGTTGGATCAGCTCCAGATGTGAAGTATGTCTGCTTTATGCTGGTTTGAGGGGTTTAATCTGTGGATAAAGACAGAATCTGGATTATAATCCACCATTATAACACTGGAATCAGCATTTGATACTGGCGGACGGACTGGTTTTGACCGGAGAATTGTGCTGGTTTGAATCAGACAGGCGGTCTTGGTCCTGTTTTTGATTTTAGAACTGGTTTGGGCGCAAGAGATGGGGGCCGCTTCATCATTTAAAGAACCATGGACTAAAGTGTTGTCAACTCAGAGGGTAAATGAATATGCTAATGCTTTTGTGTTGCAATACTGCACCAAACAATCATATTATATAGAGTTTTAACAGGAAACATTGAATTCTGTATAGTTTGTGGTTGCATGATATTTCTCAGTGAAATTGCTTGGTTTGTTGTTTAATGGTGGTGTCTGTTAATACATCAACACATTAACTTGCCTTTATAACACTATACTTTTACCGTTTATGGTAACTGTTCTTGGATGAGTCACTTTTGTTGTGCTGTTCCTCATTTTTAAGTCATTATGGATGCGCGTGTCTGCTAAATATATAACTGCACATGTAAATTGGATGATACCAACCCTAACCTTTACTTTAATGTTAAACCAACTGAGCCAAAAGTACATTTGTACTATTCTTAGACGTGAAATAACACATTATTTAGTCCCTCTTAGAAGAAGTTTTCCATGTGGGGATGTCCCTACAAGGTGACGGCAAGTTTTGATGTTTTTGATACTTTGACGCCTCAAGAATTGCAAAATCTGCCCACGTGAACAGCGACACAAAGCATCTTTACTGCTGGTTGCAGAGGACTTTGGCTTTCATAGAGTTAGTTTTGTCTGGATTTCTCTTGCACTTCATAGTAGGGATGGGTGATATCTTATAGTTTGCGATATATCGGTAAAAATTCTCCCCACGATAAGAATTAGTCTTCCTGCGATAATAACGATAAAGTCTAGTTGTTGACATTTCTGTGTGCGACAGTGCGGAGCGACATCGCGGAAGGCGGACGTGAAATTGAAGAGGAGTAGCCTATATCGCTAAATGAGGAGCTTGAGCTTGATCTGTAACTGGTTTGGTTAGGGCTGTACAGTCCACAAAAAATCGGTCTGAATAAATGTACTACAGTAACATGTATGCGATACAGTTTTGCATGTGTATGAGCCTGTTTACAAACCTGTTGTCCAACAAAGATATAATTTATTGACATGCTTTTTCTCCAAATTAACTTAATAACATAGTCGTGTCAGGAACAGAGTAAATTTTATTTATCTTCAGGAAAGGAAATTGCAGTGTTGCAGAAACAGTCATATAATGTTGTCCAGTCGAAAACGCATCCAGATGTGATAGATAGATAGGTAGATTGAAAGACAGATATGTAGATAGGTGGGTGGGTTGGTAAACAGTTTTTCAAAATTCAGAAATTAATAGATAAGTATTTATTAAGATTATTTATTATACATTCATAGATTAATGTATACATAAAGTTATAGATTAATTTATTCATATTTATAGATAGATATATGATTTATTCATAAATGCACAAATTAATGTATTAATTCATTAATAGATGAATGTATTCAAATTCATAGATACATTTATTTATTAATTAATATATTTATAATCTATGACTATAAATGCATAATCTATGCAATTTTATTTATAGATTAGTTTATTCATTAATTAAATATGATTAATTGACTAATCAAATTCATAGAAACGTAGGTAGGTTATTTATTCATTGTTCATTGATTAATTTATTCAAATTCATAGATAAAATTATTTATTCATTTATAGATTAGTGTATTCATTCATTCATAGATCGATAAATAGATAGATAACTTGTTGATGCATTTATTAGCATTACTTTGAAATATAAAAAATATAAATTGAATATGAATGTATTCAAATTCATAGATTATTCAAATGTATAGATTTTTATTCATTCATAGTTTAGCTTATTTATGAATGAATAGATATTTATTCATACATTTATAGATAGATTAATACATTAATTAATAGATAGATAGAAATTCATAATTTATTTATTAATTCATGAATGGATGAATACATTGGAAATAAGAACTTTATAGCATCTTTTAAATTCAATCTTTTTCCTATCAAATATTTACATTATTTGAGTCACAAATGTTAAAATTATGGTTGATATTACTTCCATGTCATTTATCACACTGTAAAAGAAAGGTCAAGTCGAGTGCATTGCATCGTGGGATACAGTGCTGCATGTAGTGTGACGGTTGTGTGGTACATCACGTGTGTGTGTGTTTAATGTGTGCTGAGAACGCAGTGCAATAGTAATATTAGTATGTTAATGTGCTATTCTGAAGAATATGTGCAGAAAACAGTGGCAGAGGGACTGAAGAGGGCTGAGAGGTGTTTGTCTCGCTGTGGGCGTGTGCGTGAGTGTGTGTTTATTTTTTTGTGTGTTTTTTTCCCTTTGGCAAGGTGCAGTATGAACAAGCACACACACACACACACACACCTGCCCTGAGGTGGTGACGATGAGCAGACGCTCTGTATTTAAGGCTGGTGGTGATAATAGAATACACAGAGAAACATCTGACAGTGACGAGAAAGGCTACAATGAAAGAAAGACAGCCTTTGTGTCACAGTTTCCACACACACACACACACACACACACTGACACTGAGCCTCACATTCATTTTAAATAATGTAGGAATACAGAGACAAAAAGTCCAAGAGTTCTATATTTGAATTTCCTCTTTTGATTGTTTCTTTGCACTAAGCATTTTGATTGGTTGCTTTTCTCATTTGGGCTCTCTGATTGATTTATAAACTTGCTTTAACATTGCATCTCTGCAATGGAATACTAGCACACTGTTTCTGCATACTGCACTGAAGTATACACTGAATACAGCCAACTGTTTAATGGTTTATTTAATTTTTATAGTATGTTAAACTGCATATATGGTAATCATTTCAAACAGTAGTATGTTGCATGTTTGATTCGGCAATACAGTATTACCTTTTTTCATATTTAATTTAACCTTTTTTCTTCTAAATAAAATGGTTATTTAACTTGTGGCAGTCAGAACAAGAATCAAGTTAAAATATTATAATTAAAGGGGTCATATGATGTTGCTAAAAATAACATTATTTTGTGTATTTGGTGTAATGAAATGTGTTTGTGCAGTTTAAGGGTCAAAAAACACATAGTTTCGCTTTCACAATGAAACACAGCGTCACACACGGCGAGTGAGCGGCGGCCGGGGGCTAGAGTGAGTGGAGGCCGGTGGGCTTGAGAACGGCACGGCCGGCGGATTCGATGAAGGAGCGTCCGGAGGGCTTGCGGAAACCACATGTGACGACCCCGGGGTGGACTCCGCTTCGTCCACGGTGAAAGCCGATCCGGCGATCCACAGCGCAAAGTTGTTGTATTTCCTCAGCGACCAGCACGGATCAGCTCCAGGCATGACGAAGCGATATCGTCCTCTTTTGGAAGGCCAAACAAAGTAGTTTCGCTTTCACAATGAATCACACAGCGCCTTCACGACATGGCGGCGGCGGCAACAACAATACTACAGCGAGAATAAAAGTTATGCCTTCTTTCTTTGCGTGAACATTTGGGCGGCGTTATGCAAATCTTCCAACATCGCGATGTAGATATGTGGGGGCGTGTTAGAACGAGCCGTTTTAGGTAGGTGTGGCTGACTCTTAACTTTTATAAAGAATATCTCTTTGGATTTGAGACTTTAGTCTTTGCAACTTTACAGATCTTCTTTATGCACCAAGAGCTTGTAACACTCCAAAGAGAAAGGAAAAATTGAAATCACATCATATGACCCCTTTAATGTTCATTTAGTGAAAATGAAAAGTCAAGCACACATTGTATTGTGGGATACAGTATAGCACACACAGGGCTCAACAGTGCAAGCGTTATAGGTGCATTTGCAACTAAAAATAAAAGTGTGCAAACTGTAAAATAAATTTAGGAGCATGTGTGAATAAAAACGGGGTCAGCGGGTCCTTAAAAAGTCTAAAAATTCAGTTTCCTAGATAAATGTATTCCTTCATTCATGGATTGATTTATTCATTAATTCATAGATACATAGGTAGATTATTTATTCTTAAAATCTTAGATTAGTTTGTTCTTATTCATAAATGAATTTTTAATAAATATTAAATTTTTGTGTTTTATTGAAAAATTTTTTTTTTACCCTTTTGGCATAGTTTTGCATAGCTTGTGGAAGAAACAATATTTGAGCCAATATAAATATGTGTGACTAAAAATAGTGTGCAAACTCTAAAATGTATTTAGGAGCATGTGTGTGAATAAAAAAAGTTGTAAAAAGATGTAAGGTCATGAAATATGTTTTTAATTTAACATCTTAAATAGGCTTTAAATTTGGTGATGGAAAAAACTGGAATTGTCAAATAGCTTAATGTGATTATTAAAAGGTGATGATTTTATGAAATACATGTAAGTGCTGCATGTTTCAAAGTAAAAATATGGTGCTTTTGCACATTGTAAAGGCTCGTGGTTTCATAGCATTTCACTATTAATGATACTGCATATTTATGCCAATAAATTGCTTATGATGGAAAGCTGAGGTATTCTGACAATGTTTATGTAATGGTGTTTATATTGTAATATCTTGCAGATGGTTGTAAGAGTGCATATTTTTTAATGAGTGGCCTATAAGAGTATGCTCTGGATTCATACAGCACATTTTTTTAAAAATATAGTATATCATTATAGTATATAAATACAGTTACCAGTAGAAGGACTTACAGTATAACTTATGGTAGTAAGTATGGTAGCATTGTAAACATATGCAGTCATTTATTTCTTGTTTTTTAATTTTGCACAGGAATCTGTCCAAGAAATACCAGCCTAAGAAGAAAGAGGAAGACGAGAATAAGTAAGTTTAATTTTTCTAATTTCTTTCATGATTGATATTAGATTTGTTTGGTCTAAATCCAGTTGTCTGAATCAGCATTTAACCCACTTAAATTAGCTGATGGATTCAGATATATTCATGTATGTGTCTCCGTCCTGTCTTAGGTACACATGGTGTCGCGCATTTCATTCGACGCTAAACGAGCTGAACGATTACGCCGGACAGCATGAGGTCATCGCAGAGAACATGACGTCACAGATCATCGCCGAACTCACGCGATACGCACAGGAAATCAAAACAGAGAGGAAAGCGGTGAGTGAATGAACATTTAGATAAAGGTATGACTGTGAAACGTGCAATTTGGTTAAAATAATGTCTTCTATTCAAGTTTAATAAACAGAGAGGATAAGTCAGTCATTGATGGGATGATTTTCTGAAGAGTGTGGCACATTTAATTACATATAAACACACACAATGTCCATCCGTTTCTCTTTTTCATCCAGATCTTAGGTGTTTAAAGGGTTAGTTCACCCAAAAATGAAAATTCTGTCATTAATTACTCACCCTCGTGTTGTTCCAAACCCGTAAGACCTTCGTTCATTTTCGGAACACAATTTAAGATATTTTTGATGAAATCTGAGGGCTCTCTGACCCTCCCATAGACAGCAAGGTAACTACCACGTTCAAGGTCCAGAAAAGTACCAAGATGATCGACAAAGTAGTCCGTGTGACATCAGTGGTTCAACTGTAATGTTACGAAGCTACGAGAATACTTTTTTGTGCAAAAAAACCCAAAAATAACGACTTTATTCCACATTTTCGTCTCTACTGCGTCACTTTGGACCACTGTACAGTTGAACCACTGATGTCACACGGACTACTTTGTCGATCATCTTGGTACTTTTCTGGACCTTGAACGTGGTAGTTACCTTGCTGTCTAT